GATTCCAAAGACAATAGTAAATTTCCCCACTTTTTACTATATGTTTTCACTGGTTCACTGGCGGATCACGAATTAATTATTTCTGTTATGTCTTCAAGTCAAAAAAAAATATAGAAAACAGTCACAGTACAGGACGGTTGATGAAACACATGGTGGAAGTTTTCGTTAATGCGCCATCAACCTGAAGAATTGCAAATTAGACATGGGGTTGGATTAACAAGGGTAACCGGATATTTAATTCGGTCACAAATACGTATTAGGATAGTGCATTTTGATTGGTCAATAGTATATAAATTCTAGTGAAAAATCATTCCAGTGAGAACTCTGGAAAAAAATATGGACGTCCAGTGGGGTTCCAACCTTCAGTCAAACAACACTGAACGAATTACGCGCGCCCTTAATTATTTAGTTAAACACTTTTTGCGTGAATCTACGGGTAAAACAAGCGGTAAAGACGTGCCTGGCTCGAACGAAACAGGCAAAGCTACCGATCTGACATTGTTACAACAGCAAACATTTGATTATTGTTTACGGATTCTGGGAAGGTATTTGATTACGCGAATGCCACTGTTTCTTTTTGTATTTCACTGGCATACTTGAGACTGTTCAAAAGGATTGTGTGTGCACTCGTAAGATTCTCGCATTAAAAAAAAAATAGAACAGTGATATATTATACAGAATGTGACTAGTGCCCGGGATATATTTTATGCTCACGTGTGTTTTTTGGTTAGTCGAATTACACCTTCAATAGCCAGTGACGAAATTCACGTATCCGATCTTATAAAGAAAAAATGTACTCGTGTTTAATTTTAAATATAACACTTCTTGCATATTATCGAGTTCAAAATCAAAGTGACTAAAAATTCATCAAAATTTTAGTAATTCGCGAACATAAATCCTCTTCAAAAGCATTACGTTTCACTAATCTATTCACAAAATTACAATCTCAGGTAAGAGATCTAATTACCTTCTCTTTCATTAACGAATTTATCACTAAAACTATAACTGAAATTTGGCGACTGTTATAGACTATAGTGACGCGCAAATGGTCAATATTGTATTTTCTATTGTCAGTTAGCGAACAGTCAAAGAATGGCGAAATAATTGGAAATGTAAATAATGTGAGTATATAAAATGAATGTAGTACTATGCTTTTTTTAAATATTTATGCGAATTCCCTTTTTATTAGCCAATAGAGCAAGCATTTGCGCATCGCGGATTACAGGATCTTACTAAATCTATAGAGTATGAAAGAATTAAATCAACACCCGATGAGGTAAAAAATCGGTTCATACAAAATGTATCACCCTCTCTAGAATTTGAAAGAATTAAATCAACACCTGATGAGGTAAAAAATCGGTTCATACAAAATGTATCACCCATACCAAAACCGTCTGCAAAATATTCAAAAGAAAAAGAGTCACTCCCACCTAAAACAATACTGACTAAGCAATTGGCAACATTAGAAAATAGTAAGTTGTCTGTTTATAAAAATCAGAATAATTTTAAAACAACTTAACTCTTATCTTTTTAATATATTTAAAGATAGCGAGATTTCTGAGGCTTTATTGTTGCGCGATATTGTGTTTATATTTCAAGGAATTGATGGACAATATATTAAATATGATAAAAATTCATACATCATCGATCCGAAGGTAACAACATAGTCTAATACATTTGTTCCTATTTTATTTAAATTATTTAAATACAATTATAAGTAAATTATAGGCCGAAATTAGCCGGTCCACTCGTGACATTTTACACCGACTTTCAGAACTAGGATGGCTTTATCGACGTGTAAATGATTTCGTAAATGACTTTGTAATAAATGTGAATGATACACCTATTGGATTGGTTGCTCAGGTACTCAATTCAACACATCAGATAATAATATTTTAATTTTCTCAATAATTTACAAAGTTGGGTAATTAATGAAATCCTTCAGGCCTTTTGTTCTGCTTTACAACGTGAACTGACAGAGTATTATAGATTCATTGCCGTTTTTGAAGCACAAGCTGCTAAAGTGACTGATAATCAGCAAGTTGAACCTAATGGACTTTCATTGAAACGTTTATTGGTATGGACTCAGGAATCCTTGTTAAAATTACGGATGATGTCCGTGTTGGTGGATTGTTGTAAACAAAAACAGGGTGGGGCTCTGGTATCAACGATCTATAACTATACAAACCATGGTGATCCGTTTATTCAACAATTTATTAATAATATGCTTGAAGAGGTGATTTGTTTGCACTTTATATTGAAACTACATTCGTATAATCAAAAATATTAAAAATTTATGCCATGATAGGTTTCTAGACCATTTTTCGAAATGCTTCAACGTTGGGTTTATGGTGGTGAGTTAGAAGATCCTTTCGAAGAATTTTTTGTTGCCTGTGATCCGAATGTTGAAGAAGAAGATCTTTGGCAGTCAAAATATACCATTCGTCCAGACATGCAACCAACCTTCATTAGCTCTTTACTTGCAAAAAAAGTTTGTAAAATTTTCAACATTAATTATGATCAGAAAAGAATTGTAGTTGACACAATATATATTTTTTGAGCAGATATTTGCTATAGGGAAATCACTCAACTTTATTCGATATAGTTGTCATGATAACGATTGGGTAGTCACAAATGCAGGAGCTGATAAGGGCAAGCGTTGAAACATTTAAAGAGGTTTTGAATTTTATTCAATTACTATTCTTAATACTATTTTATCTTCATAGTGTTGAAATATGGTGATATTATAGCGTTAGAAAGTTCTATAGACGCAACTTATACTGCCACAAGTCAGCGACTTCTTAGTATTTTATTCACGAAATACAAGCTCAAAGAACACTTTACTGCCCTGAAACGCTACTTATTACTTGGCCAGGGTGATTTTATACAACATTTATTGGCCCAACTTGGGTAAGTTTTTTTTTTTATTTATTTGAATTTATTTGATTGATTTATTATATATATTATTGCTTAATCGAATTTGAATAATTAGGCCAGGCCTTTCAAAACCTGCAAATACACTTTATCGTCATAATCTTACTGGTACTTTGGAGGCTGCTATTCGCGCGTCAAATGCACAATACGATGATCCTGACATCCTTCGTCGATTAGACGTTAGACTTCTTGAGGTATAAACACTTCATATAGATTCATTTTGAATTTCTTGATAAGAAAACTTCTTAATCGTAATATTCTTACGCAGGTGTCTTTAGGGGAAGCTGGTTGGGATGTTTTTAGTTTGGATTACCACGTTGATTCACCTATAAATACCATTTTTACGCCGCATGCGATGCAGCAATATCTTAAATTATTCAATTTTTTATGGCGTTTAAAGCGAGTTGAACACGATTTGTCGTCTGCTTGGCGTCGTAATATGTCTAACGCAAGAAACATGTACCAAATCGAAGGTTTGTGATAATATAAATTTCATGTTTTTTTTCGTAATTGCGGTTCATTTAATAGCATTTGTTATTACTAGAGTTGAAAAGAGATATAAATACAAGCAGATTAGTTTGTAACGAAATGATACATTTTACGAGTCAATTACAGTATTACATTTTATTTGAGGTATTGAATGATCATTAACTGTTTCAACATAAAAATTATTATCTGAATTTTTTTGAATTATAAAATATTAGGTTATCGAATGTTCATGGGATGAACTTGTTAAAGATTATACAAAGTCAGGAGACTTAGATTCACTCATCGAAGCTCATAATAAATATTTAACAAACATCACTACAAAAGTTTTTTTGGATACTTCAAGTAATCAAGTAATCTATCAATCATTTTGCTTAGAGAATTTTTATTTCTTATTTATACAAAAATTAAAAATATATATATTTTCTTTTTTATAAGAGTTACCATACCAGATTATTGAACATAATCCAATTTATATTGCAATACAAGAATGGATTGGTAAAAAAAATATTTTTTTTCAACTTTTTTTACGCGTACAAGTAACTTAATTAGGATTATTCAAAAATAGGATGATTTGCACAATTTCAGTTTGAAAGAAATTTTACGCAGGGACAACACCAACATTGAACGTCAAATTCCAGTAAGAAATAATTCACAATTTTCAAGTATATTTCAAATATATACTTCTTTTTCATATATCGATCTTAAACACCTTCATTTGTAGAATATCTTGGGAAATATAAACGAAGGCTTTGGGACACAAAATGTCAGAGAGAATCTTACAATGATTCAAGGACGTTTAACTGAAACTGCTGGACTTTTTAAAGTAATTTTATTTTTGTTATTTCACGATGTATTATACATTGTTTGCTTATTTATCATTTTATTTTGTTTGTAGCGCGAAGTTGTTAATTTATTAGTCGCTCTGGCTAATCATCATGACACAGATTTAAGATTTCTTAGTGTTCGCCTAGATTTTAACGAATATTATCGTAAATTAGGAATGCAAACATAGTATCCTGGAATGAAAAAATCGGCTAAAGCTAATGTTCGGTTTAACTGGCAAATGTTTTTTCAAAATCGATTGATCGATTTCTTTAAAATGTAATCCACGCATAAACTTTTTGATCATTACAAAAAGTTTTTTTTTTTTGTATATATATCGAATCATACTTTCCCATGTAACAATATATATATCAATAGAGAAATGCATAAACAATTAATGGATTTCGATCTACTAGAAGTGATACAATATTTTAATAATTAGCATTTGTTACCCGAAATGCGATTTATTGACAAAGTTTTAGATACTTGACTAATGCAGTATAATATTTAAATTATTAAAAAATTTCTTTATATATTTTGCACAAGAACTTAATTGGAACTTTTGCAAAAGATTATAGTGTTTTGAAATAGTCTGAATAAAGAGTTTTCAATCAAAAGATGTTTAAAAAATGTAAATTCCTTGGAATTTAATTAAAATAAATCATATTCAATTGATTATTTAATTTGGCTATTATAAAAATTTAATTATAGTAAATTGATCAATATAGTTTTGATTATTTAGCCGATTCACTACCCCAGAACTTAGGTGCGTATAAATTTGTAAAGATAATTTAATTGGCAGATATCAGATTATCGGGTAGGAACAGGGCTAGTGGATTGACTTTTAAACGTCAGTAGCCTGTCCGTGGACATGGACACTCTATGTCCATGTCCAGGAACAACACTGTCAGTAGCCAATTATCAGTTGCAGCTTTGAGAGACTTAATAGCATATTATTAACAAAGTTAAGGGAAAAAACTATAATATTGTCACGGAATAATGCCTCGATGTTATTCCGAGAGTCAAAGTCTTGAAAAAGATGATATTGGGAACTATATATAACCAAATAATGAATTGCTTTTTCAAAACATCGATTTCAAATAACGTTAAGGGTATTATTTCGCGATATTATACGTAACGGATACAAGCGAGTGAATACAATTTTGAAGACCGTAAGGTGGAGATAATTTTTACGAAGAAAAAAGATAAATTGTTCATAATATTACAATCTTGTCAATGTAAAGTAATATTTTTACGAATGGAATCACCATGATCACAATTATCGGTCAATACACAAAAATGATAACATAAAATATATTTATTAAATATACATTAAACTTTTATAATATCGAAGCAAATTATTTACAATTGACTAGAATGCAGTTTGTTTGCAAATAATTTTTTAAAAGGTAAAAAATTACCTTCACCACCTCCCCATTGTGATGCATTTGTGTCATCAAAAATAGCAAAGCCAATATGACGATAAGTTTTTGGTAAATTTTCAGCACCACCAGCATATTCCTTGAAGATTATTTCATAAAATAGTTGAGCTATAGTTGAGGGAGGATTAGAAAAAGCACCACAACCAAATGCCGAAAGAACTATACTGTCATGGCCTTTTAGGACATGGGAGTAATATTAAAATGAATAAAATAATAATTTAATAAATATTCAATTATTAGCTAATTGTGAAATCTTATTTTAAAGTTTCAGCATAAGATAAAAAAAGAATTAAAAAGAAGATACCATTGTCTAATCCAATATTCAATATTGAACGAATTTTTTGTCGCGTTAGCTCCTTATCTTCCTCATTCAAAGTGACATTATCATCAGAATCTTTTACAAGAATCGGTTGACACAAGGCAGCCACAGCCTAAACAAAAAATTCATAAAAAATAAAATTATATAATAATTATAATAAATTTATCTCTTATATAGAAAAATAGCATATAATATACCACAAAGGACATCTTTTCCGGGACATCCAAAAGAATATAATTTTCTTGTTCACTTGCTCGAATTACAGTAGCATTTGGACAATAAATTCCACCGGCATCAGGGATAGGATACCATTCATTACGGTTTGTTTCATGATATTGAAAAAGATTAGTACGACGAAATAAGTTCTCTTCTTGAGCACCAGCGCCATAAAGATAATCTTTTTTATAAAAAGAATAATAATAAGATTAATGTTATATAAAAATGTAAGGATAAATTCGAAGAAGGTAAAAAAAAATTCTTCAAGTACTTACTGCCACCAGGAACTTGATCATTAGCCATATTAAGTACGACAGGATTTAAACCCAAATTTTTCTTTATATCTAACGCATAACTTAAACAATCACCATTATAAACTTCAATTGTAGGAAATTCTTGAATTTCGGACAAGATAGGTCTAACTATTTCAGTACCATTTTCATAAAATTTAGCATTAGAAATTTCTTTCTTTAAATTATCACTATCAATTGTTACTACATTTTGAGTAGATTCATGAATATATTTAAGGGAGTTTTGAAAAATTTCGATAGTGCTAAATTGGACAGCTAGACGAATTGAACTCATTTATTAACGTTAATTGAAAAGGAAAGTAAAAATAATTTATTTGGTTTTTAGCGTTAGGATGAACAAAAATTTTAATAAAACACCCGATTTAGTAATTGGTACGTAGTGTAATAAATAAAAAAAGGATTATATTCATGTTATAAATTTAATTAAATATCACACTTTATATTAAAAGTTATTTTGGCAAATAGAAGGAGCGTATACAATACTTTTCTTTATCTTATTCTAGAAAACTATAGTTTGATAATGAGTAATGTAAAAATAGGCTATTTTTTAAAACACAAATAACTACGTATAAATGATAACGATAACGATACTGTTTAAGGATAATCTTGTAAGATCTTAACAAGTTTTTTCGATTAACATTAATTATTCAACGGATACATAATCGTACTCTAAAAACAAGTTAATGAAAAGGGTCGATAGGTAATTTTTGAATCATAGTTAAAAGTAACATATTAGGGTCCTGTTTTTTTAAAAGTAAATATTTATTTAAATAATCGCTTACCGGTAGGTATTTATTTAATTTTCTGATTCGGAAATTTAAACTCCCGTTTATTTTCCCTATTCGAATTTAGTTATTAAAAAAGTAAGATCAGTGATCTTTAGTCAATCTTATTTCACATATTCAAAATATTAATCTTTATTAAAAGACCGAGTCTATCGCTATTTGCAGTATGGCTAATGATTGATATTTATTTAAAGAGCTGAAATTGTTTAGGGCATGTATTAAACAGAAAGATAGATCAAGATTGAAAGTAGTGATAACCATAAAATTTCTTTCACAGCTCTTTTCCATTAATTTAACTTGTGAATATACATTCTTGTTATCTGGCATGATGTGACAGATACATGGGTATTCGGCAGGATGATAGCAAAAGCACGTGGCCGAAGGCC